GTAGGTAAATTCTGGCAAAGGTTGGTAGACTTAGGAGGAGGGGTAGGCAGAGAGAAGTGCTTAAAAATCTTCCCAGAGGTTAGTTGCTAGAACTCTAATAAAATTTCTCTTCTTTTCGTTATGCCTTTAAAAGCATATTTTGAGAAGGGGTCCTTGGGATCCATCAGACCACCAAAGGGGTCCATGAGGCAAAAGCGGTTAAGAAATCTAATCCAGGCCATGGTATCCAAGAAGGAGAAGGAGGAGTTCTCATATTGGATCTACAAGGTAATTTTGCCACCCTGGAAGATGGAAAATGATCTGAAAGGGATCATTGTATCAGCCCAAGATTTCTGCAGCTTGCACAGAGTAGATCTTTGTGCAACTCAAAGATATTTTTGTTCCTTTGAAGTCCTTTAGGTATTACTCTATTTCCCATGAGCAGATCATACGTGGCTTTGACTAAAGTAGGTAGTTTAAACATCAAAATGACATAACAGATCCACCTGGGTGCCAATAAACTGTGAAAATCCATGTTTCCTGATCTGTAAAACTGGGTAAGAATTGTGCTACCAGTCAGGGTTGAGAAGGGGATTAAATAAAATAACAGACATAGAACGTTTTTGCATAGTGCCTTTTTTAAAGTAAATATCCAATAGAAATTTCCAGTTGTTTTACATTACTATACTGAAATGTTCTCCTTCTGTACTTAAAGCACTGAAGTCGATGGCACACTCCGTGTTTATACCAATTTGCAAGGAGAGAAATAAGATCACATTTTGCAGGATCTTAAACACAACATGTATAAGTTACTCTATTCAATTCAGTGTTGGTTCTAGTATGTTTTATGCGGCTGGAGGTATGTTTTTCTAAACCAAATGTACAGGTGGTTATAGTCATACTTTTCTACTGTTTTTAAAATGCCTTTTAAGTTATAGGTCCTTTGTCAAAAGTGTATTTTATTTAAACTAAAATTCAATTGCTTAAAAAAACAATTGCATCTAAAGACTATACTTTCAGGTATCATTTCTATACAGGCATACCTCATTTTATTGTGCTTCACAGATACTGCATTTTTTACAAATTGTAGGTGTGTGGCAACCCTGCATCGAGCAAGTCTATCGGCACCATTTTTCCAACAGCATGTGCTCACTTCGTGTCTCTGTGTCACATTTTTGTAATTCTCACGATGTTTCAAACTTTTTCATTACTATTATATATGTTATGATGATCTGTAATCAGAGATATTTAATATTACTATTGTAATTGTTTTGGGGCACCACGGACTGAGCCGTATAAGACCACGAACTTAAT